TCTGATCCATCTTATTTAAATTACTGTGCCCTAATATTCTCGAAACTTTAATATGGCTCAAAACATACGAATTGTTTGCAAAATGATATTGCAAGCTGCGAAATAGTGTGTCAACTCAATCTCCAGCAAAGAAATAAGAAGTTTGAATTCATGTGTGACACACATGAACCTGAAGAAAATACGTGTTTACAATGTGATCCAGTTACAATGATATTGTTATGAAATTCCTTCTTTGACCTATGCAGTCTTCTTTTGAAGGAGTTCCAGATATGATCACTGTTATTTCAGAGGGAATATATACCAAGTGTACATCCGCATCTGAATTTTTAATAATGTTAGCTTCATACTTAATGTAAATGATATTGGACTTGTAACATAAATTAACTTGTAACATTCTATTATTGATGTTGGCGTATTATATCTGTTTCTTCACCATCAGAGGACACAAGACATTCTTTATACCTAGTCCGCCAAAATAAGCGCCCCGGGTGCTTAGGCCATTGACAAAAGGGACGCTTATTAATACTACACACAACAAGTTGAACATGTTGTCAGCGATCGAGCGGTAATGAACAAACTTATTTCAAACGTTGGTGAATCTAAACATTTTTTCGATATCAATTACTGAACAATTATATACCCCATCTACGCTATACACACAAAAAATACGGACTGTCATGTAATATTTCGGGTTTTTTAGGTGGCGTTCATTAAATTACTTATAAATTGGTCAAGAAGGGAATGCCTATTGGAGCGGGATGCTTAGCACGGTATCTGATCTTATGAAAGTATTCCTTCCTGAGTTGAGCAACTAATTAGGACTGTCCTATTCTGGATATGGGTATTGTCTTAAGTAATCCCCATTTAAATGCCTAACAACTGCCTGTCTCACAACTGGGAGATAACCACCGGGGCACAATACTAACGTTACCATAGAGTCCCAACCCATTCGAATCAGGTTTGAAATTACGTTTAACAATAATATTCAAGCGTGTTTGAAAAAATAAATGTGTACATGACAATACTATTGATTCTCAGTCATTTTCAAGTCAACAATACACAATGATGTTTAAGGTACCGAGGAAAGTAATTGGAATCGTGAGTAAATGTTGGAAGTCATATTAATGAACATAAAGATCACAATAAAAGTATATTGTTTCCTCTTTTGAAGGGACACAAGGTTCGAGCCAATTGGCAACCCTTCAATGTATCAACCTTGACAAGTTTCCTTAGCTACCTCACTGTTTCTGTCTTCTACCACCAATATTAGTATGCATATCACTCTTGCAGTGTATGATTACCTAAATTACACAGACACAATGTCTCAGTTTCAAACAGTGTACAAATTACAATGTCTAGACCTCGACTTGAAATTGGCACTACGCTCTGAGTTTCTCTTTAAATGTAAATATGTACCTCGCATCTGGTGCCTTTGATGAACATCGGACTTACTATTCAAGAAATAACCAGTGCCTGTCTTTCCAAAATACATCTCAAACGACTAGTGGCATCTGACATTTTGTATTTGTAATCCATTTCGCTATATTATACTTTTGCAGTCAATCGTTTTATTCTTTTCGCCATATCAATGTATTAAATATAGGTGATCATGTCAGAGGTTATTGGCTCGCAAATCTCATATTTGCCCAGATGTTTACATATTCATTGCTATTTTCTCTGAAGTCATGTAAATATAATGATCGGTTTTATTCATAGGTGATATATCATGCAATTGTAGGAGGCAGGTTTCAGGCTTGCCTATCATACATATCAAACGTAGATAACCTTAAGTGCAGAAACCGCATCACCGCGCTGAAAATGTTTTTATCAAACACGAAACACGTTGTCTTGCAACTGTCTCACTATACCAACAGAAAGAATGTTCAGTTTGATAACAATACCTTCTATGAATAATTATTCTTATTTGGAAACTTTTATAAAGAATAATAATCAAATAAATAACTACAAACACGGTGTTCAAACTATAATCAAAACGATTCTTTCATCATTGCTGTGTGCATAATTAGTGATATTATACACAACTAAACCCATAGAGGACAATCACTGACAAAGCCGATGATAACACGAAAATGATGTCTGGTTACTGCGTCATTATTTCGACAAGCACACTGTGGACACTTCAAAATATAGATTATTAAAGAGAGACATGCATGATGTTGAAGACACGGAAAGCGAATGGTGCGTGTCTGTTTCACCAGAATTTGCCCATTATGTGTACCCATTAGCTTTACGTTTTTGATTTTTTATAATTCAGATTACGTGTGGACATGGAACACGGTAACATATATTCTAACGTTGTGTGACATTGTCGACAGTTCCTATGTTCTGAACTGGTTAATAAGGATTTTAAAAAAAGAAGGTTTTATTGCCAATTTTGGGTTTTTTTCTTGTCCGTTGAATAATATTAATCACATTTTGCTAAAAATGCACATATGAGTTGACATCCAGAGCAACAGCCCCACCCAACCCCACCCCATCCCAATCACTCAAAGACGTTTTCCGAGTAACATTGCAGAATAACGGCGAAATGCGTGGCACTTTTTCAAAGCAATTAAAGACGTGATCGGCATGCATTATATAAGACATCCATCAAACCTATAAAATGCTACTGAGCCTTAACGTTGTGCCGAAGAACCGTTAATACAGTAAATTTCTTTTCAACCACTTACACTACGTGACATCTGTGATTACTTGTTTTTGCGTGAATTATTTACTTCCTTGTTGTCAGAGGAACTTTATGAATAGTTCTTTGAGGCGCCTGTTCTGTGCATCTGGCTGTTTGTCGAAAAGGAATAAGCTATGAAGCTCTTCATCATGTACACAAGTTAAAAGACAAACCGTCATCATTTTAATGGTCGACATGGCTGATGTTGAAATATCTCACTCATTGATCACAGAACAATTATATATATACTTCTTATTATCACACAAAGAACTCATGACAGCTGTGTCCACTTCGGTGTTTACTATAATGACAATATCTACATAAAAACCCGCTTTTAGTCCGCCAACAAGTAATCGTACTGTAGGGGTAAATATGCTCTCGTGCATGTCATATACATCTGGTACTTAACTGTGTTAGTAGCCATCGAAGTTTGCAAAACATTCTTTGAGGCTTATGCTGCTATTTTCAAGAACAAAGTTAATCATTCTAACTTTCAAATATCCAGACAATATTTAAAAAAAGAGTATACCAAAGCCGTTATGATTCAAGTTTATATGCTAGTACGCATGCCACTAACCGAGTGTTCAATGTTTCAATATCAAAATTCATATTAACTGTGAAGATCCGGGTTAGAATTAGTTTTAAGAAACCGAGGCTTGGTGTAAGAGGCGATTAACGGGATCGGGTGGTCAGGCTCGCTAACTTGGTTGATGAATGTATCCCAATTGCGTATATCGATGCCCATGATATCAATCACTGGATTGACAAACAAACATAATTCATGAATTGAGAATTGTCGCGGGAAGCAGCTTGTTTTGCGTATGTTTTCACTAAACTTTCAGAAACGCACATATGATGAGCTTCCTTCCTCTCATCATTCAGAGATTCGGTAGATTCTGGTACATCAATTCATGTTCACGTCAGAATCAATAGATATCCAATACAAAAATACGTTTTTTTGTCGAACAGAAGTTGTATTATCGACGAACAAACTTTTGCCAAACACAAATTGCTCTCTTCAAACATATTACGAAATAAATATATAAAATTTCAAAAAATAGGTACAAACAATAACCATAACCATTGGAACTATATACTCTAGTTTCCATTATCTGCAGTAGGTCTCTTTGGTATTTTACCGACCATGCAATATCAACCCAATGAAGCTATTTCCAGATTATCACGTTCCGTTATTGGTATGGTGAACCCACAGTGGTGTATCCACTGTTTACACCCTGTCTGTTGGTGGCTGGGGGAGCCAAATGACAGTGAAATGTTATCAAACTATCAACTAGTACAGACATGGCCTTCCGTAACATCCTCGTAAAAGCTCTTTGAAGATGTTGCTTTAGGTTAAATAATGTTTCCAATTTCGAAGACCACTTTTCTAAAAAAAAATACAACGTAAAGTTTTAACATAGTTATCTCAATGCATCGTAAAAGGGACACGTTGTGATCATACACTTTGCTTAAAATAAAATATTTGATGTAGCCACCTAATGCTGTGTTAGTAACAAAGACGCGCGCCAGTAAACATGCATATTCATATAATGGATGGTGCTCAGATAATTTCTTAAGCGTGTGTTTGTTATGCATCCTTCCCGTGGGCACAAGGAGTACTTTGCCAGCAAATGTCGTTCGTGTTATACACGTTTGAGGGCACTTCTGTTCGATGGTAGGTAACTAGCCTTGGGTCCTGTCTATTTCAGACTGTGACATGTCCCAGAGTCATGTTAATGCAATTTACATACTGAGCTGAATCTAATTGTTTAGGCCTGACAGGCAGGTGCCAAATTGCCAAACGCCCTATCTTTTTACTTTATATTTTTTGTTCAAAATCAATTTTAGCATCAGCTAACAACGTTTTGCATTATTCGGGCATGAGCAGAAATTGAGATGACTTGATTATGTGAGGAGATCCCATTACCGTTAACGTTATATTTACAGTATATTCTCTGGTTCAAGGGATATGATAGCGTCACCAGACTTTGAAGTTTATAAAAAAATAATATAGTATTTATAAAATGTATGAATGTGCATTGCAGTTTCGTAAATAATAATGGTGATATGAGTGTGATAGCTACCGGTATGACACTTCATACGCTTGGCGTGTATTTCTTGGTACAGTACATATTAACATTTGAAGCATTCTACTTAGAAATACAAAAACCGATTTACTAACTTTATTTAAGGAATATGCTTGGTATTCTACCATTTAGGTGGCACTAAGAATACTCAAATTTGGTTTACTGCCATATGCGATGTTTTAGATGTCACTTTTTAAACATTCTATACATTTCTGTTTCTCTTTTAGTTGGAAATGCCTCTCCAGAGATCCGTGTACGGGAACCTCAGTTTACAACGATGTCAGGCTCAATAAACCACAAGAAAGGAGACCTGGCGATACTTTACTGTTCTGTTCAGAATCTTGGAGAACGAACGGTAAGCAGTATTGGCATTTGGTGTGTGTTAGGTGTGATCACGTTCCTTCCAAATAAACATCAAATGCATCTGCATGTAACCTTGGTGTAAATGAAAATGATATCTCAAAGGATTACAAATCTCAGTCAGGTATGCTATTGTTGAATCGCTTAGTGTAAGCCTATTGTCTGACGAGTAACAGTACCAGTAAGTTAGATAATGATAAGAGAAATGGTGAAAGTTTTTAAGTATTCAAAACGATAGTAATTGTTATGCCATAACAAAGAGCAAAATTCACTTGCTTTCAAGTTGTAATATCAATTTCAGCAACATAAAGATAGAAATAGTGAATTATAATAAATCAGACGTAAGTTCAAGTATAATGTCCTTATTTAACCTATCTTAAGCCCCCATGATAAAGCACACAATGAAATGCTATATGCAATTTTGGGAGAATTCCCGTGGGTCAAACCACTCTATTCCTATATATCTGGGCAGTTTGATTGCTAAATGGCCTGGAATGATAACTGAAAATCGGCAAAGTGTCTGGCTGATTCTTGATCGAAGATGTAGGAGTCATGAGGGATTTTCCTGTCATTGACTCACTACGCATGGCTTCGACCAGTGTCTACTTACTTTTTTTGAATAATTCCTCGTTGCCCTTAAAGCTTTCGCAAATCCTCTCGTGACAAATTAAAAATCCAGACGGTGATTTGGTATTTCAAATTCCAACTGAAAATGTCCTGGTTCTTGGGAGATTTCACTTATTACTTTTGCCGGTTACATATAAGTTGAAAGTATGTCGTGTTTTATGTATGGTGACCGCAATTCATAAAACATGTCAACCTATTTCGGTTACGACTGGAACTAAAAGCCACTGACCCTTACACAAGTTATAAATGTCAGCAGTTCTCAACGTACATCGCACAGACATAGCCTTTTGTACGCAAGGAATATTTCGTTCTATGTCCATTTAAACATTCAATGCCTTCGTTTAAGATGGGGTCGATGTAATATCCTCTTCTATTCATAGAAACTAACATTACATTCATCATTTGTAGATGAAGGATAATATCCTTATCATCAATCTCAGTCCACTGGCATTCTAAGTTTATAACATACTGTCACAGTTGTATGCATCAATTTCCTTTCTATAGCAGGATATTTATGCTGAATCTATTCGATCATAAGTAAATGAGTCCGGAATCAACGACTATTTCCCTTTTTGATTTAAAAACTTGATGAACAGTTGTACTTAATCAACCGATAAGTTATGGTTTTACTATTACACGATACTAGTATATCAAAAATAAGGTGTTTCTATACGCTCTGGATAACACATTGTATTTCAGTCCGCTAGAATCGAACGATACAAAGAGAGTAACTCTTGTTCCATTGCACCAGCGTTGCCTTTCTAAATTAATTGGGCATCAATGTGATCAAACACATTGCGTTGTCCAAATTTTGTTCCTATTTTAAAGAAAAATCCGAGAAAACATATATCTTGGAAGTGGTTGGATCAGTTAATGCTTTCCGGTTTCTGTCTCAACCTCACAGATTTAATACACTGTGGCATTAATTAGTGGGGAGAATCTACACCATACACGCAAGCTGGATACAAAGTGATTTTGAAAGAGTATGTAGGTTGCGGGAACACTAATTGTAAGTTAAGAGACAGATTATGTCTGTGGTGGCGTGGCTTCCACAGTCACATACCAGCTTGAAAAAGGTCCCGTCTGTAAGTAGTCAATACACGTAAACCGATCCTCGTATCATACGGTCCGCTCTCTCTGGAGCATGTGGTCATCGTTGCCTGGAACCTCGAGCTAACTGAGGCGATGTCACATGAAATACCTCATGCATTAAGAATTGTTTATATGTCCTATTGGGTACCCCATGAAGAGAACACTTCACGTAACTCTACTCTCCGGGGAAGGAGAGGATATTGTTTTACCCTGCATCAGGAGCGATTTATCGCGTTTTATTTTCTAAGCGGAAATACCTTACGTTTAATTTATAACGACGTGACGAACGCGTGACATACGTACTAGGGTGATGACGATACTGTGGGTCTGTTGGCTTCCAATTACCAAATTCAGTGCCTTTGTAAACCGACTATATATTGACTACTTAATCACAAAACAATATACGTTATTTTACAATCACCACACGTACAGTCGAACACTCAATTCCTGATTACACGGCATTGGTGCATTTTGGGCTAATTCTTAATCATATAATTCAAGTGCGTAAAATCATAACTTCAATAATCTTTTGCTAAGGTAGACTCCTGAGGTTAACAGTATGCAGTTTTTTTGTCTTTTCTACTCAGTTCCACTCATGTAACCCCTCTTCTCCATTTTCTGCCCTCTCTTCAATCTCTAGGAATAGCGATTTGCGTCCATTGCAATAACCCCAGATCACTGACTTCGATCGATCACTGCTGAATGTACAGTGGTCTGTAAAGAGAAAGAGCGTTTGTTTTAAGTGATCAAGCTAAACAATTCTTCAAAAGACTCCAAACCGTACATGTAGTAAAAGTGTGGGTGATTCTATGTATACTGTACATATTCCAGTCATTATTCCACGTGTAATCTGGAAACGTTTAGGAATGTTGCCAGTGCTTTATCACCATGTTGACTGAAATGGTCCATGGCCATCGACAACAACACTTCGTGCAGACAAGAGCAATTTTACCCCACTCTAAACTCGTAGCTGCCAGCGTGCACAGAGGCAAGAAGAAGAAGACAGATGTTAACTTTGCCAACCAAATTCGATTGGAGAGAGAGTGATGGTTTGCGGCGAGATATCAGCACCATGACGTGTCCATCTTCACAATGGTAATTCACAATTCACCACGTCATGAAGACCAATGGCTTGGGCGGTTGTAATGGCATTCCTCCTTCGGGGTTGTGAAAACCCCAAGGATGGCAATTGACCGAATGGAACTTGCTGCAAGCCTAGCCATACCACACGATAAAGTATGGCTGCAAGTGCACATAGCTGAATATGCATGTCTAAAAAACGTCCTGAGGATGTGAGGGAAGAAGTCAAGTTTTCTCAAATCCTACACTGTAGGTCATGAGCTCAAAGACATACCCCTCAAGCATAAAACCTTAATATTATAAATTCATGGGAAAAGACAAATTTGACAAGCTAATTATTACTGTATTAAGATCGTTCTTTTCACTTTTCTTACGTGAGAAATATTCCGGAATGGGGAGTATAGAGACAATTTCATTGTATGAGCAGACTGTCTGGTAAATAGGAACTTTGTAACTGCCAGAGAAGACATATTTAACACGCAAAGACGTGAAGAAAATCACGACGCTCGATTTCATGTCCAACACACTCCACTGGCTATAGTCTGGTGGATGTGTCTATACCTTAACTCATCCGTAACAGAAATACACCTTCATCTGAGGCAACCGAATTGCTTCTACTGATTATAGATGGGTTCACAAGAGATGTTGTAGACAGGCAAACGGTCTGAGGGTGAATCCAGCTGCTGCCAAGGATATGGTGAGCAGTGATTGAATTGTGAATACTGTTATGTCGACCTGATGTAGGTGTTAGCCTGATCAATGTATATTTCACCTTAGAACTCTGACAATATAAACTTTATTGATATTTTTTATGTAAGTTTCGCCTTCCGGGCAGCTTTAGGCCGATGTCAACCGATATTAAATCAGCATGAACTATAACATTGCTTATGTTAGAGAAATATTAAACGCACAAAATAATACTTTTTTAATCTATGACAAGGGAGATATCATGTGTGCCACGACATGTATGTTCAATATAGAGCATGTGGAGACAAAAAGCAATGATTTCATGTTAAGCATGTTTAAAACTTATTGTATGCGATACTCAATCGTTCATTATATTTGCCAATTCTATGGGTTCAGTTCGAGACAGCTAGAAACAGAGACTTTGATGTGCAATGTTGTAAATGATCATAACTGTGTTATACTGAATGCAAGTTAAACTTTTGAAAAATATATCGACATTTGTCCTTATTTATGCTCCAAATGTTTTTGTATACTGGTTAGCCATGACGAGAAACAATGCCAACATGTATAGCAAACACATGGGGCCAGAACAATCCAGCATCATGCGCCCGTGGCACCAAATCTGGCTTTAGTTTCCATTTTTTTAAATTATGCAGGCAGTCTTCAGTTTCCAATTTAATTACAAGTGAAACGTCTTCAAGATGGTGACCAAAGTCTAGCGAAACGTATCTCCTGTTGAGACTATAGTCTGCACATCAAGGGCAATGTGGGGATATAGAATTCAATTATCATCGAAACCATCGATAGAAAAAGGAGCTTTTTTTCTTAAGCGCCCATGTTAACCCCAGGTCTTCACTGTTCTCCATCTTGTACACATGTTGAAGTCTTGTAATGAGCAGCAGCCCTGAACGCAAGGATAAAATGCGCCTCATTGTAGTAACATTTGGAAGCGATGATAGTAATGCAAAGCAAGATATACGACAGGGAGGAACACCTATTGTAAGGCCATTGCTGCTCCTGAAAATTGTTTACCCGGTGCTTGTTTCCAAAATCATTGGTTCATTGGAAATTGATTGCGTTTTGATATATCGATGCACGGTAGACATTTCCTAACCGAGAGTCATATGTAACTGAGAGTAATGAGAACAAGCTTGTATTGGTCTGTGATAAATCAAATGTGGAGTGTGTTTTACCGATGTAAATGGTACAAGTATGTAGTGTCGCTTTATATAGCTTAATTAGGAATTTGTAGGTTGTGCCAACATCTCTATATTCCCTGTATTAACACATACCGCTATGCATATTTGTCATGATTTCGTTAAACGCTTACACCCATAGCTTGACTTGTTTTGTGTGAAAGTGGCACTATTACTCTCCTTCTTGTGATCTTCTTGTGGTATGTAGGGTAGCACAACATTACTTTATATTATACTAACTGTTAAAATACCAATGTACCAGATCGGCTGTAAATGATATATCGTCACCCAGTAAAATGTTACATCCAGATAGAACAGTAACTGCTGTTCCAATTAACCTGGATCCGTAGATTTTTTTCATCTGTATTTGTACAATGTAAATGTTCATGCCGTATCTTTATCATCAGGTTGTATGGAGAAAACTTCCCATGGCAGGGCCACTCACGGTCGGCACGAAGACGTGGGTAAAGGATAAACGAATTCACGTGGAACATATGCCAAACAGTGACCAATGGAACCTTATAATAGAAAAGGCAAAAGTTAATGACTCAGCAACTTATGAATGTCAGGTCAGCTTTAGAAGCAAAAAATTGCGTCAACTTATAACACTCACTGTAAAAGGTACGTTTAATCCTGATTTATTTTACAAAGACAACTTCAGATAATTTTCAATTTTTGTTCTGTTTTCATTTTCAGGAAATGTGATTACGTGGATGAATGGATTTTATTTACGCTGTCATCAGCAATATTTCACCTTCATAATGTCAGGCTTCGTTGTTTCTATCTTTCATGTTAATATCACCATCGATCCGTGGGCCATTGGTTTGATTTAAACACATTTTGTTCACGAGGCGGTAAGGGTACGTGTGTCAGGTTACGACTACATATAAGAGAAGAGCGTCTAGGAAGGATAATTATGCATACACGTTCGACCAGATTATCAACCTGATATATTTTGCAGTCACCCGTTAGTTTTTAATTTCAAAATACATCTCAATCTAATCGTAGAGACCATGTGTTTCATTCGAAGATATTCACTTATATCAAACTGTGATCAAAAGCATAGACACTGGTACTACAAAGCAGGGGCTCTCGTATGATGAGGCACCACTCTCCTGACCTATAAGATGTGGCTTGATGCATCTAGTGATCTCTGTTGGTCTATCGTGGGTCAGCTGACATTGTATAAAAAGGTCTACTCAGGAGAGTAGAGGTCCCTGACAGTTAAAGTTAAACCAGCGGTGATTCTGCATTCCTCGTGTGACATCCGTCGCAGTGGTGGTAAGCTTCAAAGCGATGAAAGATGGCGGCGTTTGCGTTCCCTTACACGTTATAGATTTTCCACTTGTACTTTACGCTTGCTCTAATCCTTCAGATAAGTTTCCGATGGGCATATTTTTTTCTCTCTCACAATCGCGGGTGTTCAATTAATATTTTAGGCACGGACTTTGTAGCGCTATGTATTGATAATACGTCACAATACGAGATTGGAAATATAACTGAGTACACTGAGATTGTCCAGTGATATACCATGAATGGATTTTGACTTCTGATACATTGGTTCCTATTTCAGATGATTCACATAAAGACGCGCCAAGTAAGTAATCCATTCTTATATCAAACACTTATAGGTTGCATATAGAAAGCAAATATACTTAAATTAGTGATAGGTTGATTCACAAATATTAGACATAAGCTGCAGCTGATTTTTACATAATACCATGAATTATTCCACACGCTACGACCACTGCTGTTATATCTCCGCAGCTTTACCACGTTAAGAAGCACCATGTCTTCTTCTGGAAATGCAATAACACCTGCATGCGAGATCACTCACCACCCCAGCCCATGTATGCTCTAACCACAGGCTATTTTACTACATGTACTCAAACTAGATACATAATTACATGTTGTATATAAATAAATGTTTTCATAACACACATGTGTGTGGTTTGTACATATAAACCACCATATTTCACACGATTCATATAATACATGAATGAGATACAAGTAGTTCTATTTTAATTCAATTCAATTACCTTAAGCATTTGGCCTTTGCTTGAAATGATTGTTGTTCTGATAATTGTAAATGATTCTCGATTTGACATAAAGTTAAGACAATAACAAAGATAATTAATAGGTAATTCAAAAAATTAATGATATCTTAGTGATATTTTGTTGTCGGTAGTTAAAAATGCATTTGATCAAATGTCACTAAGACATTATTAATTACAATGCGAGCATGTTATCGATTGCGCCATAGGCATGTTTTATATTTTAGTTTCCGTTGTTTGCGCATGGCCTATATGTAATAAAAACTTAATAGTGACCTGTATGTCAGTGCATGATATGTCAATATGCTTTTACTTCTCTTACTTCAACTACAGGTTTCAAGGTATATAAATATAGAACTTTGCATGGACGAACAATCACAATATGGGAATACTCGTGTTTTGCGCGAAAATGAGTTATTTCTCTTTCAAACGATTATATCTGAGTGTGTATTATCAAAGGGTGATAATGAAATGCAAACTTATAACGTAGAACATCACCAAAAACATACCTACTTTACACAACGAAACAAATATCGAATAACACGAAAGACATGCTGGTAAAAATATCTGAATAGAAAAGGAAATGAATACCTTACTCTCATCGATTATTATACTTCGCTATGTATTAAATGAGGCTTTGGACTGAAAAGATAGAGAGGACATTCTTGGTAAGTATATTCCAATTCGACGACGGATAGTGTCGAGATAGTGATCGTGGTTCACTTGCGTCGCCAGATATTGGTAAGGGGAAATAACTCATTGTTGCGATGACCTTTGATATTTCTTTAAGACACCAGAGAGTGTGGAATGGCTTTTTACGTCGTCTAGTGGCGGGCTTCATCTCTTCGTTGTGGCCGTGGCACCAGTCAGAAATCAATTTTGAAAGTCTAAATTATGATTTTGATATGCAGAGATCGTTTATTTTTCAGCTCTTTCCATTTCAGGGATTCAAATAAGTGGCGAAAGTTATCTTAAGAAAGGACAAACGTTGAAACTTACTTGTAACGCCAGCTTAATAGATGAATCCATGGACGGATTATGTTGGTACAAAGATAAGGACATCCTAACTACTCAAGGAGACAAACGGATACAAGTGCTAAGTTCTGTGATGCTCTCTAGAACCTCGAATGGACATATGAGCAGTGTGTTAGAAATCACAGATACTACAGCCAGTGATAGTGGAAATTACGTGTGTAAATCGCCAGAAAATTCACAGATGGCAGGAGTCCGAGTGGAAATATCGAATGGTAAGTGTCCATAAAACCTAAGGCCTTTCTCTTGACTTCGTTAATACTTCATAACGCAGAACGTGTATTTAGCACGAGATTTACTTTTAAAAGACAGTCGTGTTGAGATGTTCAACACGTCAACACGAATAAGCATGTCAAGCATTATCATCTAACAATGCTGCATGCCTGTTGACAAGTCGAACGAGAAGAGCATGCACAAGAGAACATTACGAACGTTAGTTTAAATCTCACTATGTTTAGAAAGCTGCCAAGAAAAGTAACTATTTAGCAAAACTGGAAAACATTTTGTAACGTTTGACAATCATAGCCTCTGTGCTCAATTTGAATTGTTTGATAGGAATTACTTTTCAACTTAGTACACTACTATCCCACATGACAAACTTAAAATAAAACTTCATTTCTTGATCCATGGAGATGTTGTTACAAAACGTCGTGACCACATATAGTTAAGTATCTATATTCAGAGGTTCAGGACAATTTGTGAAAAATGGAAGCAAGTGCAGTCTGAAGTTACTGAGAAAATAATATGCGAAAAGCTGGACTTCCTCATTGATAACATCTACGTAAAATGGGGTATAAGACATTTGGGCAAGAAGTAGACATCCCCACGGGTACCAATTATGCCCCCTTCTTGCGGGTCTGTTTCTTTATGCATATGAATCGGAAATTCTGTTCGGACTGGCAAAGTCAAAACAAGGTAATTTGGCTAGGAAGTGTAACTTAAGCTTCAGATATATCGATGATCTGATATCGCTCAATAACAGTCACATAGCCAATTCCCTTCCACTGATTTACCCACCTGAACTTAAAATAAAGGAGACCAGTTAGACCGCCTCGTATGTTTCATTTTAGATCGATCTATGCATTAAGATTCAGCGTGACAAAACACTCTCCACAAGACTGTATGACAAGATGGATGACTTCAACTTTCCAATGGTCAACTTTCCCTTCATGTCGAGCAATATTCCAGCAGCTCCAGCCTTTCGATTTGTTATTCTTTCTAGACCAAATATTTTATTGAGATAAATATGAGTTTACGTCATTTTTGTGTCATGGGTACTTTGATTCATACATCTTGTCCTGATGAATACAAAAGTTGTGACCACCTAGCACCCCACCCACCCCTCCAATACCTTCATTTCTGATATTGTCACCCAGTTAAGCAATAAAGTCTGGAAACCTTCATTAAACCCTGGGGATTGGTCCATATTATTCAGTTACTTGGGTTATTGTGTTTGTTCGTTTAGCGCACACTTCAGACAACAATTTGAGTTCCTTGACCAAAATGTGTCTCGACAATTTCGTTAACATTAAGAATTTCTTAATATGTCGATATATTAATACGCCCATCAATATACCCATCAAGGTACAAAACATCGCATTGTGTTTGTATGTTGCCCAACGCCGCACTCGGCAATATTCCTGCTTCATAAATCCTGCTGTAAATGATCTAGTCCAGTCAAGACAATCCATTGATTGACATTGCGTACAATGATCCTAGTCGTAGGGCTACAATGACATGCTATCAAGCACGTCACCGAGCCTGACCATCCGAACCATTTAGTCGGCTCTTACGACCACCATAAGAGAATATCATGTACATATGATCTAACAGTGTGACCAGAGCCTATTTGTACGAAGCCATCTTAGCACTGTGAGGATTGTAAATCCATAATATTTCATTGAATCGATCTTACGATAATCCTAGGCCAACGATCACCTTGTAGGTGTACCTATATATACAATTTGTAATGCTACTGGAATAATCCATGACCAGATATGTTTCTACATTATTAAAAATAAAACTATCGACAACGTTACAACTTTGCCCAATAGGAACGGAATTCGCAAACTATGCATATGTAAGAGATAACTTATTATATGTGTGTACACTGTGTAAGTGACTCCCAAAATGGTTGGCAAGATAATTCGAGTTTAATGTAATTATACCCATGTGTTCTTTACTTTGTCAGCTACAAGGTGCAGAGTATCAAGCGTTAGTTCATTAACCATGCCACTACAATCTGTTCTTTATGGTTCAGTGTGAATTACTTCTCATCATTTTGATTACAATGATGACTGACATAATGGAACACGTGTTCCAAATTATCTCAAAGTGGAAGGGGGGGGGGGGGGGCAGGAGATATTGACAAAGCATATTGTTATTAGATAATCAAACACTGAAGATTACCACCTACTGTAATAAATTCTTTGTACCGTTGCAGTAATTATCAGTCGCCAAGGAATGCATCTAATACTGCAATTTGCTTCTCAAATGTTATAGCTTCAACTGTTGTTATGCCTTAACACCTTACATTGAAATAACAGAGGAACCTCATTAGGACCCACTTTGGAAAATCAAGAAATAGCTTTACGCCGGTTTAGCCCTATTTATTCGGTACCATGGCGGCTTACACAAAGAATGGGTATCTACCATTGTAATTGTATTGGGAATCGAACCCGGGCACTCAGCATGACAAAATATATGTTTACCCTCTAGGCAGCCCCAACCCGAACATAACATAGATGTGTGTAATATTATCATTTGTTAATGGCATCGCATCTTCCCGAGGCAAGGGAGTTAACTGACTATAAAAGTCCAGTTTCCACCCTTGCCGAACTAGGCTGGAATTTCTGGGCTCGACCAGTGGCTATTACAAATAATGTCCCTTTTAAGTCCCTCCTATTGACCAATCATTAGATACTTTAATAAAAGTCATGTTTTCAATCAAGGTGATCATTTTATTAAAGGCAAATGATTGGTCAATAGGAGGGACTTAAAAGGGACATTATTTGTAATAGCCACTGGTCGAGCCCAGAAATTCCAGCCTAGTTCGGCAAGGGTGGAAACTGGACTTTTATAGTCAGTTAACTTCCTTGCCTCGGGAAGATGATGGCATCGTTGGTAAACAAGTTAAGTTAGGGCTCGCGTAGAGACCACTTCTTTTAGAGCATCGTCATTCTTAACATCAACATATAGAATATTAATACGAAATTATATAACTAGTATAAGTATATTCAGATTTAATTATTACTTGCATAACCAAACATGCATGCAAAGAGATGCATATTCATAAATAAAGCATAATTAATGGCATGTAATATTGCAGGAACTTCTATCTTCAACCTACAACTGATTAATGCATCAATTACAGCATACCAAACTGACAATTTCCCTTTAAATAGTCACTATCAATTAAAGCTAACAATGCACCGGGGTTTCACTTCAACGTGTTTAATTTCATTTCCGCAACTGAATTACGTTTTTCGATCGCGGGGCCCACATTATACCCTATTATATGTTGTGTGTTGCTTTGAAGAATTCAGGAGCGTAAACTTTCGATGGAACATATTTTAATTACGTTTAATAACAAGATATGATGATAGGGGTATTGGGTATACTTTATTGGGAAGATCAAGGTTCCATGTGGAGCTGATCAGTTGCAAGATCAAAGGCATAGGATTCATGGAGACGTTTATACGAACTGTTTTATAATAAGAAAGGTGACTGATGTTTGCCCAATGTTTGTGAAATAAAGACTCTACAGTTACATGTTACATAAGGCTCAAAGCCATGATAACCTTTTTGTGTTTATGTGTTTCCGTATGGCTACATAAGTCACGCTCACTTACAAAGTGTGTTTATTCAAGAGATATATCACATTAAATCTGATATAACGGTAGGTTCAGTAGGCATTTACATGATATTGCATTATCATTCTTTCAACATAAGGTTAAATGTAGAGGGACATTCCACAGCTAAGACACTTCAAGTTCTTGTGTTTATAAGGAAGGAAGTATCTCACTAGTCAGGGTTTAAAAATTGTGTTTTCGCGTTTTGTTTATTGTTATGTTCAACAGAATATTATGTTTACATCCAAACGAAATACCGTCTTACCCTAATCAAGACTTCTACCGGGCCATGAACTAATTACAGACACACGTGCATGTCTGCTAAACGCATTCGGAAGGAATGTATGCATATATCCGTGGCATTCTGTCACTAACCTACCTTGATTTAAAGCGTGCCTGAGTATATCTGTACGTGATGGTAAACAGATAGACATGCGGGTGTGAGTATTTACGGCGAGACAAATATTTTTCTTGACAAATGTGGTACAGAAACAATCACACATCAAGCTGACTCGACGTGAGTACACATATACTAGTCCACAGTTGCATGATTTCACTATATTACAGATATTATGAGTGCTGATCGCTTTTCGATGAACGAAACATCTCCTCTCAGAAAGAATGAGTAATCAGTTTCAACCTGAAAACACCAATAAGCACCAAAACACATTTCTGACATTTTTAAAGGCTAGATGATTACAATTGTTACCATTTTTTACCCCCGAAAGACATTTTTCACCCATGTTGTTAAGTTTAGCCGTATTTAAATTCTTAAAGCAGTGGTTTGCTTTGAGATCCACGACACTGAAAATACGCTACACCGACATCTGCTAAATATCAACGTTCCCGTGTTGTCATCGTGCTTTTTCTCTTTGGCAGGTTCCCACAATATTAAGCGAGGTAAGATCCATTCTCTGCTGCCTTCGACTCTGTCTTCATTTTCTTTGACAAGTCTATTTCTGCTTGCAATCGATCCCATTTTCAACTCATCTGAAGGATGATTCGCATTAAATAATTCACACCCTTTCACTTTCATATATGCAAGTCCGTAATGTGTCTTTCTTCATGTGTTTTTGTATGAAAATAACATGCATGTGTTCAGTCTGCTGAAATTGGCACTGACCCTTGCGGTGATCATCATTTTCACCATAGTACAGCCTGAGCGGCCGGATATTTGACACACCATTGCATTCCTAAATAGGCAATAAATAGCGCGTTTGCAGCGGTTACCTCCTCGCCGTCTGTACTGGGAAACAGTTGAAAGGAAGACACTATACATTATTCAGACCTTTTGACAACTCAAGGTGGTATAGTGGCTTTGAATTGAACCTGACTATTTTGAACAAGTCCCTATATTAAAATAGCCGTTTTACATATTCTGTTACTTTATTTGTCTAGTTTATTATATTTTCGGAACGCTACGACATATGGTAAATCCTGCATATATCTCAAGAGTGAAACCACTGATAATATTCTATTTTGTATCACTTTCGTGTGTGCATATTGGGATTCGTGTAAATCCTATAAACACCAATGATGCCACATTACTTTCTCCACACAGGCTGAAGTAACGCCACACTCTCCACCTGAGCTTTCCTGTTATTTGTTGCACATAAATGTTTCCATAATAAATAGGTTATATAGTATTCATTTCATACGAAATTTTCCATAGCTGAATTAAAGTCTGGTCTGAAAGCACTCGTTATATAAACATTGTTAGCGAAACAAATAACTTGTTGATCAAAGATTGATGAAGCAAATGATCAGAAAGCTGGAGTTATTTATTATAAGCATAACGAGTTATTTGTAATATATTTTTATATGCATGACCATAAAATTATATTAACGGTTTAAATTATCTACAATGACAGCATATGCAATCTGAGGAAGTGAGTAAAATGTCATATGACGTACCATTACATGGTGGTACATGCGTTTGTGCGTGTGTTCGAATATTACTAAGATACAAACAATGCATGTAGACACGTGTACATTCTTCAACCTTCCATAGTCTTTGAAATTAACTGTAGGCTGTATATTCACAGTTCCTCCAGATCCTGTGGAATCGATGGATATGAAAAGTTCTCCAAACAAGAAGAAACATGTAAGTGGGTGCTCACATCGTGTTCTCTCAGACAGTTACCTTCTTTCAACGACTTTAATCACTGCAATCGTTACACTTGTGATGAAATAACCCTGAGGATATTCGAAGCAAAGACGCTGTGATATGTGATCTCTTCTAGCATCATTTGGCGTTAAATTGGACGGCAATTATTGACGGTGTTTCCCAACAATGACGACTATCATGTTACTGTTGGGGATGAGTCTGACGGTATTGCCAATATCATCTGGTGCTGTGCTATTTGTGCAAGGACGCAGATGAGGAGGACAAGTGGGATTTCAAACAACTCGTCTATCACTGGGCCCAGGCTTAGGATGGAAGACTTCTACATTTTCACATTACAAAGTGCTTCGTTCACATTCCAACACATGTCAGTATTATGTACACATCAGTCATCTCACGTCTATCGTATTGTGGTGGATTTCGACATCGTCCCACACACCTGAAGGTATGTATTGGAATCGATTAATTTCACAATTGTTGATCGACGTCGATTAAGCTCTTTTCTGCTTTTACCAGCAGCAATGTATAGAATTTTACATTTGAACTTTTTATTGGGTGTCATGTTACAACATGAATACGAATTGCAAGTCTTGCCTTTTAATTGATACTATGACATATAACTGATTCGCTGCTCACATGTGGATAAATCCGACACTTATGTGTTAATCGGGCTGGATTGGGTGCTTGCCAAGTATGAACAGGTTTGAATAGAATTAAGGCCGACGTTGACTACCTTTAACTAGGAATCTGAAAGCCCGTCTGGTTAAGAACGAAGATAGTTAAATTGTCATGGGCATTATTTTCTCTTTCCGAGTTAGCCTCTCTATGACCCATAGATGACTGGGCTATTTATGTACAAGGAACACACAGATAGGCATCATTAAGATGCGATTTATGATTCAATGGCGGGTCTCTCCCTTCTGTGTACGCGAGATGTGTTAAGATGTCTACTAAGATACTGCTGTGAACATTTATTGTATTTCGTTTTCAGACTATAGGGAGCAGTGGAAAATGTGCATGTCTCATCGAGGATACTTCTAAGAAATGCTTTGCAAACCAATATCATTTGAAAAAGACTAACAGGACAACGTTAGCAGCTGGACTTAACACTGAAACAGTTTGTATCAAGAGCACAAAATCGTGTTGAGACCTTGTCTAATACAATACGGTTATTATGTCGGGGACATTTCCTGCAAATGTCAACATGATCATTCGGGACCCACTGGCCTTTATTAACACATTTTGTGTAAGGCGGACTATTGGAGGGACGTGCCTCAGAACATTTGCATATACAATTAGAACAAAGAACTAAGCTTTCGTAAACACTATAACAGATATCTATTTGTGTGAGTTGTACATGCTCACTTGAACTTTTGTCCATGTACAAAACATCATGTCAAACACGTTTGCACTTTGGGAACATTGGATATACATGTGCGTGTAATACGTGCATGTGCTTAATGACAATAATTCAGGTAACTTGTACGCAACGTGCAACACTAATTTGTATGATGTATGGTAAATTCCTCGAAATCATGGCTATAACGAGTTTGTGAATTTCAACGAAATGTAATCCATGACAGCAATATCTAGCTAGATACCTAATAACGGAAAAGGTATATTCAAGATACAAACTGTGTATGTCTGAATATAGTGTCCGTCTCCTACGGTTTAGCCTGAAGGGTTTAAAAGCCGCAATTGAATAATGTATACTGAGGTATTGTACATGTGGAGCTTCGCTCAATGTAATAATCCTGGTTTCGAGGGTGGTGTGTAGCAAACTGTACTACAGTCTTTCACGGTAAGTAGATTTTGTACATTTCATACACATTGTCTTTGTTTGTAAAAGCAAATTTGAATAATCTGTGATATGTGGAACATGCGGGCTATTTTATTTCTATTGTTTATAGGTTTTTTTGTAGTCCATTTAATGCAATGGATATTTTCTGTTTATTTGCCTGTGAATACGTTACATGTAACGATAATGTAAGAATTTGCAGATATCACCTAAAGAATTTTAGTGCTAATGGTCTATTGTACAAAATATTGAGGACATACAATAGTTCACACGTTGGATAGTTTATGTGTATAACATTGTCTTTGAAACAAAATAACCTCGCTTTGTTCTCTACGTATGGACACAAATACGGGATTGCATGAAATGATAGATATCATTCTTTTACCAGCTATGTACTAGCAAGGATGGGACATGGTGAAAGTTATTAATAATATTAGTATTGTGATCCGTGGACCCGTAGAACTGCGTGCTATGGTTATGGCATACTCTGCATCAGGGCCCCGATGGTAGCCCTTGTACGGGATCCAGATCCACTCCTCACGCAAAGCTAACAACGCTGGTAGGGTGATCTAGGAATTTGACACACACGACGTCCTTCATTATCCCACAGATGTTCAGTTAGTTGAGGTCAGGACGTTTAGTTGGAATTTGACACAACAAGGATGTTCTCATCCTACATGAATCCACTGACACAGGAGAAGATGTTGTTTACTAATCATACGCACAAGGAGACCTAAGACTAGCCGCTAAACTTCACCACGATCACGATTGTAAGTCGACCATCAAGGCCATCCTACAGCTGCAGGTGATTACTGATCCATCTCCACACTGAATGTGCTGTACCATGGTGCACTGCTGATAGGGCTTGTGAGCGTAGTTCCTGTCATGATAACCTGTGCAGTTGCGAAGGAACATCAATTCATAAATGAATATGGTACGATGCCAACTGTCGTACACAATGACAACGTTCACATCCCATTCTAAGAGTTTGTAAGTTGGTACAATATTGATTCCAACATGCGAAAATGTTTAATCCGGTTCAAGCCAGCGATTATGTTTGATGATGATCTGAGTCTGCCCCTTTCGCTTGGAGTGATATTTGCAATGAAAATGCCATAACCTTGAAATCACGCTGATTGATTTGCTGAAATTACCAGCAACCGCTCGGAGTGAGTACACCAACCTTACCATGTCTTTTGCTTGCCTTTTGTGCGCTACTTTTTGTCTCGCAATGGTGAGAGTGAGTTCACTCGCTACTGCAACAATTCACGATCATTTTCTTATCCTACATGGCTAAGCAATTATGACAAAATAATGCCACTAAGAATTGCTTTTCGGGGCATTCAACTGGGAATGCGACCGCTATATGATCTGTTCCTGATTACTTCTTATGCGATCCCTTATTTTTGTCTGTAGGTATGTTTACAGTAAATATGTTTTTACTCATCCAAGCAACGCGTTTTCGTTTTCGTCAAGACGTGCTTGGGAGCAAGAAACAACAATGGGAATGGTACGTGATTATCGATTAATGATACATCATCGGTCTTAGTAAGAAGAACACCTCCAGCAGTAGACACTTTTTCATAGGCACGAGCCTGTAACAGACCACTGAATACATCACGATGTTGTGTTCTTTAGTACAGTCATAAATCGACATCAGCATTGACCTCGCAAGTGTGCAAATTGTGAGGATTTATGACGCTGTTGTAGGCAAAACATTCTTCAGTAACTGTCTGTATACCTTCCGTCATGACTAGGAAAATGGCAGATGTCCAAATTGCTGTGTCGGTGTTACTTTTGAAAGCAAGCGAAACACATTTCCTAAGTACTGGTGATGTGTTGTTTGGTTTTTATGGTGCGCAGATCCGAAGCTTCTACATTGTGGAAATTCATAAGTGTTATGGGTATTTCAAACCGTAATTGTATTTTACAAATGTTTACAATGTTGAAAATGTAATACTGGTCTTTTACATTTTAGATGTTTTAGTTATCTGGAACCAGATGTTTTTGTTTCATCTGAAGTAAAAATATAAATGTCATAACCGATACATGTTTGCAAATGTTTCACGTCGTGGTTGAAATGTTAGCGTTGCATTTCAAGGTTTGATTAGGGTAAAAAGCTGTTATTATAAGAATATGATAAGTGTTAACTCTTTAGGTTCCCCAATTCACAGCTTTTCTCCGTCCATATCATTTCAAAACAGCCCACCCACCAATATTGGTTAGAGAACTCATTATGAAAAGTCGTCATCTTTATATTTGTGATAATGCATATTCTCCTCTACCTTGAAATATCTGACACGACAGTTCCCAGATACATGTACGACGCCCATAAATTTAACAATAACTATTTGTGAACAGGTCAAGTCAATGTTGTTAATGAAATTACATAGTTGCGAAACCAACAGCTTTCAGACTACATCTCAATTTGTCATTTACACAAAGCTGTAATTATTACTATTGATAATGATATATTTTGTGTCCCATTGTATATTGTTTGTAGATACACATGAATATGTAAATGGAACATAACATCATTTAAGCATCATTTTTTCATATGTATATATCCACTATTGATGTATATATTATGTAAATATTATTATCCATGTAAATTAAACTGAACATAATGAATAGATTTTGTTGTTTCTTTTCAAGATATATTTTACACTCATTTCCATGTTGACATGTTGAAAGAAATACTTGCTTCCTGACATAGAAGGCGATGGGGTAGACCACTGGTGAAAGCTTTCGTTCGTCATGCTGATGGCACGGATTCAGTTCACATTTGCGAAGCCCATTCCTGATGATCTTTCTGGAATATTGCTTAAAGCGGCGTAAAACCATACTCACTCACGTTTGAAATCTGTCCTGTTATACACTGATTCACAGGTTGCATAACAAGTGGTGTCTCCTGGAGTTTGATTATGTACGTCAATTTGTTAGAGTTGTGTTTCTGTTCACCTCGTTGTGTTGAGATGCATATGGTACGTGAAGACAAAACCCCACAATGCATACCTTGCGGTTGTATTTTCACATGGGGTGGAAAATGCTATATGCATTTCACGCTTATCCATTGATCGGGAAAAATATGCCATGTCTTTGAGTCTGGCGTTATACACTAACCTCCCAGGCTGTTACAACACCCTAGATGGTTTGAAGACGAGCGTCCTTTAACAGTTACTGCATACCACAGCAGTTTCGACATCTTAAGCTCGGTCGGAAACTTTAAGATTTGAAACCACATTGTCTGAAAATCGATACGAATGATTACAGCAACGTTGTCTCTAAAATTGGTCCCAGATCGCCGATCTGAAGTCAAGTATGTTCATCATACCACTTATACTTATGCCCAAATGTGTTACATTTATTGTGCAGAATGCACATTTATTGAACATGATCTGATCTTTCAACTCACAGGATGTTCAACAGGTTCATCTCCTCTAAATGGTACAGTATTTTCCCTCCGAAACAGTGGGTTGATTAAGGTGGATTAGGATTCTTCACTACAAGCCAAACATTGAGGTCTCTGAAAGTTGCACACAGGTGAGTGATTGAATGTTGCATAGCGCCGAATCCAGCAGTATTCGAGCTAATGTACGGCCTGTAAATGACAGACCATGCCAATGGTTGATATAATTGGGAACGTCCAACGCCATCGGGGTTCGATAACACGCAATCAACCACGTCACCTAACCTGATCATCAGATTTTAGTAGCCTCTTAAAATTCCATAGGTTACTAGAGATAATTTCAACCCCGGAAACAGTCGGGGTACAATTCCTTGCAGAATGCCGATTTAATGAGTGTCCCTACATTTTCTGGTCCATCGCTTGACTGTCTTGTTTGTTTACAGGCCACCGTCGCATGGCAGGAGTACTGCTGTGCAGCTTCAGGTAAAATCGAAAACTTTGTATCCAAATTGTGTGAATGGATGGTGCTAACGGTAGGGCACGACATGCTTACCCTTTTCGCGTACAACTGGTGCTATACACATTTTCAGGAATTCTTTCATATAAATTATTTTTTTCACATGCCTTTTACGCCCAGTCTGTTTCGGTGGCTGATTGAGATTGGTTAATCTCTGACGTCGGCGCTTTATATTTCCGCATCAAATATAACATTTGACCTTCTCAGCAAATCCAGCTTGTATCATATGGAATACAGGAAGTGTTCAGTAAATGTGGTAACATACCGTGCAATCTCGTGTCGTGAATCTTTCGTGCTTTTTCATGTAGCTTAACGGTAATTACAACCAATTTCACAATATAATAACCATCACCTGACTATGAAATCACATAGCGAACATTACATGACTCGACTCGTGGGCTGCCACTCACCTACACTAAACCGAGTTTGGAGCTAGATTATCCGTTGTATGCAAATGCTTCTAACTTTGAGACGTGTGTGTATATAAATGCTATAATGAATATGATTTTAGAACCGGCATCATATCGATTCTTGTAATCGACTCGAAGAACGCTGGCCACTCTATTGCCAGGTTGCACCTTAAGAGAACAGTCCATGTGTATAAATGTTCGAAGGTATGAGAAAATGTGATGGTCAAAGTGCAAAATCAAATCATTGCCAGAGTTCCAATTGCAGCAAACCACTTAACATATAATTCATACACGTCATGCATCATAGATATCACATCATTACCTGCAAACGCGCTTTGTCAATTATTGACACACAGATGACCAAACGAGTTAGATACCGTTTTTATTACGAGGGTATTTCAAAACGTATTTTCGCTCGTTAGACTTTTTGAAATACACTCTTTGTAATAAGAACGATATCTAACGGGGACGAGTGTTGTAATCTATTTAAGACTTGCTTACACTTTATAATTATCGAAATTCAACGTATGAATACAGCATGCGCATCTGATGGTACCGGTTGTCTTGACCCATAACTTCACTCGTTGGTTCAACTCTATATAATTTTCATACATAGATGTACCGGTGTACCTACCTACAGTTTGATAATGACCGAAGAGACTGATAATGTTTAAGATAGAGATTGCTCAGAATAGAGATCATGGTAACTCTTAATGACTACATGAAGATTTTTGATAGGTGATACACTGGATCCCTAGAGATCCCCTGTGCTTACTCCGATCAACAGAATATTTTCTGGCATGACACAAATCCAAGTGATTCACGATGCCTGATTAATGATCGTTAATGATAGACTTCTTCATCAATTCGTCAAGGTTGTTCGGTCACCTAAAGAATAAGTCACAGCAGTGCGATTCAGAATGAACTGAATATGTTTGAAGTTTTCCATTTTGGCATATTTTATTTGACAGAGAATACGTACTATCACTGTGTCTACATCATTATACCCTTGTTCTTTGTGTATTTGTGCAATGTCAGACGCAAAGTTAGTGGTTAGGAAATTAAATATACGCGACAAGGTGGGTGTAACCTACCCCAATGGTTGAGCCCATCACAAACACATGCATAGGAAAGTGAATTGTATTCATTCCACTTGTCCTTGCCTGATTGTACTTAGGACCGTCGTTAATCTTTGAGATGGAGATTTGGAGGTGCATCTACTGGGCCCACCACTTAATATTCTCATGGAGCTTTGGAATCCAGTACAAAAGAGGAATGGACATTGTCAAGTCAAACGTTGATAGTTCTGAGGGGTGCATTTGGCATGTAAAGCAGCGAAAGAGCCTTGCGGTGTATATTCTTGCTTTGTTGGCTTGAGTATACAGTTTAAGCAAAGCATCGGTATAGCATCCTTAGTATCCTTTGACAATGCCCATTACTTGGTCTACCGGTCACCCCGTATTTGCTATAGCGTAATATCTGTATTCTATTATAAACAGTATATACAGGTTATCACACGAGTATGTTTATGAACATTAAATATACTGTATTACGAACAAACATTGTATTTAGCCAGCATTTGACTAATACCAAAACACGCAAGCATGATAACCTCTTTATCATGATATTGTGCCATCCTTAATCTATCGACGAAAAGAATATTCTCATCTCTCACATTACCTGAACATATTAAACTTTCCTGAAACGTATGCGTTAAAATATTACGTCACAAGGTCCATGTTTTGTCAGTCGAAGACATGGTTCCAAGTGAAACTTGTATTTTGGACAGTGGTATAGCGACCATGTAGACAAAATGATAATTGCCTATGCATGATTTTTCAAGGTAACTTTTAAAGCAATCTAATCTTTGTCGCTAATAGCCTTCGGTGTCAGCCCATCGGTCCGCCCGCAAGAGTAATTTCTGGCCAATGGGAAGTTACTCTAGTCTATGATATCACGTTTGTCTGACTGGACATGTCGCATTGTCAAAACGATACGAAATAAAGCCAGCTGACCAAAACAGCGACAAGATGAAACTGTTGAAAAGTAATATTTCGGATATATTTCGACCAATTAAAACTACTTTAAATAACTTTTTATTCGGGAAAATGTTGTCTCCAAGCACAGGTATGGAAACCGATACCCCCAACGTTCTCGCAAAAAGTTTCGCCATTTATGTATCCAATGATGCCAACACATATAAAGGCCTCAGCTACGCCCCAGTTAGTCACTGATTTTGCGTATCTTGGACTATTTTTTTGGTGACAATGAGCCATTTAATTTGTCTCGATTTTGATGGTCAATTCAGACTCGATGGCCAAAAGACCGTCACTGATTTTTTTTATATAAAGTGCATATGTATCTGTAAATTACTCCCAAAGGATACAGTTTTTATCCCCGTTGGCTAACTACCTTGGACGCACCAACTGACGTCCACACTTCTTGAGTGTGCGAAAGTAACAGGTCGGCCAGATATACCACGAGTAAATGGCAAATTATTGAAGCAGCATTGGGACAAGGTCATTGCAAAGGTATGGATACCTGACACATAAATAATCCGGGACGAGCTCCCGCGACTAAAATTATATATATGTGCCGTGAATCTGGTGAGCTAACTGCCAACCCTCGTCAGGCGCCCTTGCATGAACCCCAAGTTCCAAAATAAAGTCACCATTGTTGTGTTTCATTACATCCGATTGCCTGAAAATTAAAAAGTTCAAATCTAATACGGCGCCTGATGGTATTGGAAACAGGTCTTGGAAACTGTTCCCGTGTATCCAAACGCCATTATTTCACTATTTAAATTTTCTTGTGTATACAGTGGATGTTCTGCCTTGGTTGTGCAAAGGTCGAATACTTCTCCCAAAGAAAGGTGATTTGACTGACCCTAAACACTTCCGCCATATTGCTTGCCTGAATACACAATACAAAATATTCACTGGGTGTCTTATTAATTACTGATCTTGTGTCATCATTCTGCGCTTCCAATGACATATATTTATATGGAGCAGAAAGATGCATGAAAGGGATGTTGCTGTAGTAAGGATCAATTACTATTTCAGAAAAATATCCTTGAAAATTCTAAAACATGTTACCACCGTAACCTCTCAATGTGTTGGAGAGACTACAGAAAAGCTTATTATTCTGTACCTCACGAATTGATTTTGAAGTCACTGGAATGTGTTGACTTCCTCAAGCGACTACTTGTTTTACTAAAGTCTTTGATGAATTGCTTTTCAAATCAACTTGAGACGTATTCTCAGGGGCAGGTTGTGACTTTT